GAAAGGCGACCGCACCACAGCGCCGTCCAGGCCAGCACCATTTCTTCCTGAGCTTCACAAAGAAGTGGCAAAGTCCTGGACCGCCCCCTTTTCGGCCCGAGTGCGTCCCTCTGTTTCTGCTGCATTCTCCACGGTGGACGGTGCAAAAGACAGAGGCTACCACTCCCTGCCCGCCGTGGAAGAAGCCGTAGCGGCCCATCTTTGCCCGCCCTCTACTGGACGGCGAGCTAAGACGGCCCTACCATCAAAGGCTTGCCGCACCACGTCTGCTCTGCACTCCCGCGCTAACACCGCCGCTGGGCAGGCTGCGTCGGCTCTCCACTCTATGGCCGTGCTGCAGATACTTCAAGCCGACCTTCTCCGGAAAATGGACGAGGAAGGCCAGGAGGCTATCGGCGTGCCGGATCTACGCAGCGCTACAGACCTGGCTCTTCGCGCCGCGAAATCCGCAGCACAGGCCGTGGGACGGATCATGGTGTCTCTCACTGTCGCCGAGAGACATTTGTGGCTTACGATGTCTGAGATGCCGGACTCGGAGCGCTCTGTGTTCCTCGATGCGCCCATCTCACCGACTGGACTTTTCGTCATCCGTCAAAGATTTTGCGGAAAGGTTCGTTGAAGTTCAAAAGACATCACAGGCTCTGAAGCACTTCCTCCCGAAGCGCTCTAGCTCCGCAGCAGGTCGCCCTAAACAGCCGTCTGCTCTCAGCCTCAGCCACCGCTCCACAGCGCCGCCAGGCCCGGGACCATAGACCACGCTCTCGCTCTGCAGGCCGCCCACCTCAGCGCGGGCCCCGGCCAAAGATTGAGATCAAGCCCGAGGCCTCGAAGTCGTCCTAGCACGCCTAGGAAAACGACGGTGTTCAAGTCCCGCTGCGGCCGGACTTTCACCAAAGTTTCTCGCTCGTTCAGTTCCAAGAATTGTGACTGTCCCAGTGTATTATGCAGTAAACAAGTCAGCACCACAGCCCGCTTGCCTGCACCCAAACGCCGTTTTTACGGCGACCCAGATAAATCAAATAAAGATTGCAAATTCTGGTGTTCCGGCCTCGGCCGATGGTGTTATGAGTGTAATAAAAATGCCCACAAACCTGTGCCCATTTCTACACACAAACACAGCCCGCCACGGTGCAGGGCTCGCACAAATAAAATCGCCTCGTGTCGATTGTGCATCAGATGTAGTGAATGTGCCCACGTCCCAGTGCCCACAAACACTACACACCACATGTCCCACGGTTTCTGTAAAAACGAAACCAACACACATTCAGTCAGCTCAGGCCGACGGTGTTTTCAGTGCAGTGAATGTGCCCGCTGTTACGCGCCCACATTCTCTCACGGACATGTTGAGCCCGACGGGGCTCCCCCGCTCACTCTCCCTCAGCACACCGCTGTAGGGGATTTGAGCGCGGCCAGGCTGCACGCCCCCATCGGCGCGCCCCCTGCCTCACACACTGTAAACACAGTATCTGTGTCAAAGCACACCGGAGCCCCCGTGCCGTCGTTAGATTACGGCCAGAGCCCGAATCGCATTCTACCCCTAGCTCTTCGTGCATTTTGGATCTAAGGCATCTGAACAGAGCGCTTATGAAACGCCGATTCAGAATGCTCACAACCAGCAAAATCCTCGGGCAATTTTGCCAGGGGGACTGGTTTGTGTCAATAGATCTGAAGGACGCTTATTTCCAGATTCAAATAGCGTCACGTCACAGGCGATTTTTGAGATTCGCCTTCGCGGGCCAGGCATATCAATACACAGTCCTACCGTTCGGCCTGTCCCTTGCACCCCGTACATTTACGAGGTGCATGGACGCGGCGCTCGCGCCTCTGAGACTTCAGGGCATGCGAGTCTTGAACTATTTGGACGATTGGCTGATTCTAGCTCGGTCCCGACCGGAGCTCATAGAACACATGACCATGCTACTCGAACACCTCGAGAATCTTGGTCTCACAGTCAACTGGGCGAAGAGTTCGCTGTCTCCCAGCCAGGAAATTTCCTTTCTGGGCATAGAACTGAACTCGCTGTCTATGACAGCGCGACTATCGCCAGAGCGCAGGCTGAACATTCAGCGCTTTGCGAAATCCTTCCGCTGCGGCACCATAGTTCCGCTCAGGAGATTTCAGGAGATGCTGGGCCTCATGGCCTCAGCGTCATCAACACTCCAGCTGGGTCTGCTTCGCATGCTGAAAGCGCGAGTACAGCCTCGAGCTTGGACCTCCGGTCTTTTTCGCCTCAGGGTCAATCAGGAATGCGTCGCAGCCCTGAAACTTTGGCAAGCGAACGACTGGTACCAGTCACGTGTAAACCTCGGGACTTCCTCGAGTGTGCAGGTAGTGTCCACGGACGCCTCCACCTCGGGATGGGGAGCGCTGCTTGAGGGCAGACCGTTCTTCGGCCAGTGGTCAGAACGGGAAAAGCTCCTACACATAAACTGCCTGGAAATGATGGCAGTCGATCTCGCGCTGAGGCGCTTCTGTCCCCGAATAAAAGGCCATCACGTCTTAGTCCGCTCGGACAACATGTCAGTGGTGGCCTACATAAATCGCCAGGGCGGCATCAGATCCCGAAACCTTTACAGGCTGACGGAACGCCTCCTGGTGTGGGCCCAACACAATTTGCGCTCACTGAGAGCAGCACATGTGCCCGGCCACCTGAACCTGGGTCCGGACAGATTGTCCAGGAACAATGTTCCAGCAGGGGAATGGTCTCTGCACCCGCAGACGGTCAGTCTGCTATGGAAGACATTCGGCAGAGCGCAGGTAGACCTGTTTGCGTCTCAAGAGAACGCTCATTGCCCGAAGTTTTTCTCCAAGAGCAGGGATGCGCTGGCCCACGTCTGGCCCCGCTGCCCCCTCTATGCTTTTCCCCCCATCTCGCTCCTGCCCCAAGTGCTGGATCGGATAAGGGAAAATGGATGTTCAGTGCTCCTCGTGGCGCCACTCTGGACAAACCAAGCATGGTTTCCGGTCCTGATGCAGCTGACGAGCACTGCCCCATGGCGTATACCGATGAGGAAGGACCTCCTCTCTCAAGCCAGGGGTTCAATCTGGCATCCCTACCCGGAGCAATGGTCCCTGCACGCATGGGCCATCAACGGGTACCTGCAAACCTCCCTGAGGGAGTGCAAAACACGATCACACAGGCTAGAGCGCCGTCTACCAGGCGGTTCTATGCCTCAAAATGGTCGGTGTTCTCTGGATGGTGCAAAGCACACGGCTTTTCACCTCCGGACTGCGGGATTAAGGAAGTTCTCTCCTTCCTTCAAGAGCTACTGGATAAGGGCAGAACCCCATCCACGCTCAAAGTATATGTGGCGGCTATAGCGGCGTTCACAGAACCTGCGACCGGCCGGTCACTGGGAAGAAATGATCTGGTCATCCGCTTCCTCAGGGAAGCTAAGAGGCTGAATCCTCCCAGACCCCCCTAAGTCCCCATATGGGACCTTTCCACGGTTCTGGAAGCCATGAAAGGTGCCCCATTCGAGCCAATCCGCTCGTCGGATATGAAACACCTGTCATTCAAAACAGCGTTTCTCGTGGCTCTCGCTTCAGTGAAGCGCGTAGGGGATCTGCAAGCGCTCTCGGTGAGCGCGACATGTCTGGAATTTGGGCCAAATGACTCAAAAGTCATACTCAAACCAAGACATGGATATGTTCCCAAGTCTCTCAATACGCCGTTCAGAGCCCAGGTTATCTCCCTGTCCGCTCTGCCGGTCTGTAGCGAGGAAAGGGACGTGAGCTTCCTTTGCCCAGTTAGGGCATTAAGAGCTTATGTGTCTCGCTCGTCAGTTTTCAGACAGACTGAGCAGCTTTTCGTTTCGTTCAGCGGGCGCTCTAAGGGACTAGCCGCTTCGAAACAGAGCCTATCCAGATGGATAGTCGATGCCATAGCGCTGGCATACGCGTCATTGGGCCTCGAGTGCCCTATAGGCGTTAAAGCGCATTCCACGAGGGGTATGGCCTCGTCGTGGGCTTGGTCTAGCGGAGTTACACTTCAAGATATCTGTATGGCGGCAGGTTGGGCCTCCCCGTCTACATTTATCAGGTTCTATAACCTGGAAGTTCCCGCCTTACAGGCCAAGCTGTTGTCGGTTAAATAGTATTATCTGCACCGAACTTCGGCTCAGAATACTGCATCCGCTTGAGCACGGCTCGCGGCCGACTAAAGCTAACACGGGCAACTAAACCTGTGGTTTTTTGCACAGTTCAGGCTGAATGGTTCGCCCTGGCTGTGTGGAACACTTAAGTGACTAGCTCCCTTAGGATGCTAAATGACATTGAGAATGATGCTTCCAGCCTCTCTTCTCGGACTCTGTGTGAGTCCCTGGTGATTGTGCACTATATGAGCCCCGGGCACATGCCCTTGGGACTTTGGTGTCGGATCCCAGCACGCACGGCATTTTGCATTGTGTTCCCCTAGCGTAAGATATTACGCAGTACGAGAGAACCTCTCGTAAGAGAACGTACTCGGTTACTAGCGTAACCTCGGTTCTCTCCAGAGAGGGAACGAGTACTGCGTATCTTCCCGTGCATGCAGTACGCTGGTTTGCTTCAGCGATGAAAACCAGAGGATATCAGCCCATCGAGCCGTATTTATAAGGCTAGGCCACGCCCGTTACGGCGGGAGCATGACGCAATGGGCGCGAATCGCCCTCATTGGACTGTCACTGAATGGCCTCTCTCGATAGGCTGCTGCAATTGCCACAGGCCAGCCAATAGGCGCGCTAAGCCGCCTTGCCTATGTCTGCTTGCTGTTGCAATGCGTTTTGCATTAATACGAAATTAAGGATAATTTTTTGGCTTCAATATCTCGAGGAAAAGAGGTTTTCCCCTAGCGTAAGATATTACGCAGTACTCGTTCCCTCTCTAGAGAGAACCGAGGTTACGTTAGTAACCGAGTACGTTTTCAAGGGGTCAATTGTATGACTAAAGTTTAGTCTAAATCTCTATAAAAACCCAGTAATACACTGGCTCCTAACATCTAAACTTTGACCTCCTGATAGGTGACTTGATCCCACGTCATCAGCAGGTGTTCCGGTCCAATGTCTTCTTTAGCGGAGTCAGCATCCCCGAGCCTGATACCATGGTAACATAAATACCTACACTTCAAAAAAAATAATTGTGGAAGGTAACTAAATTTGATATTGTTGTTGTTGTAGGAGCCGCTAGAGAAGAGGTTTCATGATGTTTCTCCTCATGCTATTACTGTGATGAAGGTGAGATGTCAATACAGTAAGTCTCATATATCACTTTTCCACAGACAGTGACATTCTTGACCTCTGCCAAAGGTCACAGCTTAATTCAACAATGGTGTGTAAACATCATGAATGGCATTGGTTCTCACAATGCAGTCAAACAGTAGAGCATGACACTAACAATGTCTAGATCAGAAGACTGATTCCCAAGGAATGCATGAACTGAACTGATTCTTGTACATCGTGAATGAAATGTAAGTCGATTATAAAAAGCACCTACCGAATGCATACATGTAAATGCATAACATGAGTGAGTTAATAATAACAGAATAACATTTTTTGGTAAATTGAGGATAACATCCTCACTAAGTTCTGCTCTCAAAATCATTATATATTTACTCACTTAACCCTGGTTCCCTGGGATTACGGGAACGAGCATTGCGTCTGCTTTTAGGTTGAAGAACAGGGATGTCCAGGTTATAAAATCTGATAAAAGTGGACGGCGAGGAAAACCTCGCCACACAGATATCTGCGATGGAGATTCCGCTGGACCATGCCCAGGAGGAGGCCATACCTCTAGAGGAGTTGGCCTTGACTACCAGTGGACATGACAAGTCCACAAACTTATAAGCCAGTGCTATTGCGTCCACAATCCATCTGGAAAGTCTGCTTTGAGACTGGAAGTCCTTTGCTGCAGCCTCCAAAGCAAACAAACAGCTGCTCTGATTGCAGAAACTGGCCTGAGCCCTCGATATACACTCTTAAGGCCCTTGCGGGACAGAGTGGATGGGGTTCGAGCGGCAGAGCTAACAGCTCTATCACCTACGTTCTGAACAGGGTGAAGAGCACTTTTGGCACATCACCTTTTTTCGGCCAGTAATGTCATTGGTGCCAAAATCAGGGCAGGAAGGTTCCACAGATAGAGCCTGCAAATCACCAACTCGCTCGACTGACGCTAGCGGTCCGACTCACTCAGCGGAGGTTCGTTCGTCTTCGTGCCCATAAGAGAAGCCGGTTCGCCAATCTGTGAAGAGGGCAAGACCTGGTTCCTCGTGGTTTAGGAATGTCCTGTTGTTCGACCAGGACATGATGGCCCCTGAGTTCTGTCATGAACTCCTTCAAGGCCAAAATTACCACCATCATTTCCAGACGGTTGATGTGCCATTTCATCATCATTTCATCGCCCATGAGTCGAAGGCAATTTTACCGTCGCACGGGGCGCCCCAGCCCGTCTTGGTCTGTCACAACCACTTTCCTCCTGGAGACAGAGCCCAGCATCGTCCCATCCTGGTAGAAACGGGGAGATGTCCAAGAGACCAAGGCCTTGACACAGCCGTGGGTCACCCTGAGAGTGAGTCAGCCCATGCGCCATGCATGAGGCGGGACACGGCCTTTTAACCAGAGCTGGAGTAGTCGCAGGACTACTGATGAGGCTGCTGCCATGAGGCCCAGTAGCCTTTGAAACTTCTTGAGGGGAAGAAAGTAACCTTCCCTGAATAAGGCTGCCATGCTCCTGATTTTCCTGAGTTGAAATCCACCCCAGGAACAAGATGCGTTGGCTGGGGAGCAGCCAGCTCTTGCCAAAGTTGACTCTGAAACCCAAGTTCTCCAGATGGCTGAGGAGCAGGGATCCATGGGCGCATAGCTCCTGTCTCGACTGTGCTAAAAGTATCCAATCGTCGAGGTAGTTGAGCATGCGGATCTGTTTCAGAGGGGGGAAAGCCGTTTCTACACACTTAGTAAAGGTATGCGAATCTCAAGAACGATCTGTGATGGGGGGCTATCTGGATGTAAAAGTGAGCATCTTTCAGATACACTGGTATAAACCAATCCCCAGGGTGAATCTGTGAATCGATTTGTTTGAAAGTTAACATTCTGAATGGCCATTTCATGAGGGCGCGATTCAGACGTCTCAGATCTATAATGGGCCTGAGGCTGCCATCTTTCTTGGGGACGAGGAAGTAGCAGCTGTAAAAGCCTCTCTCGCTGCATTCCGTGGGGACTTTCTTCACGGCACCTTTTTGCAGTAGAGACTGTGGCTCTGAGGACATGAGAGCTGTTGTTTGAGACCGACTGTGGACCACGCCCCTGAAACATGGAGGTCTGCGAGTGAATTGGAGCAAGTAAACTCGTTCTACTATCCCCAAATCGACACTCCGGGGATGGCTTGCCATGCCTGGACTCGAGTGGCAAATGGCTGAAGTGCTATGGGCTGCGCGGGAGAACGGCGCCTGTTACAGTATTGAGAGGAATGCTCTCTTTGTGAGAATGTAAAAATTTTGTTAGAAGTGCTATAGGCTGCATCTCATGCTGGAGCGGGAGAGCGGCACCTGTTACAGCATTGAGAGGAGGAGAATGTAAACATTTTGTTTGGTTCACTGCCATAGGCACCTGTGGATAGGGAGTTTGTCAGCAATTACATCGTCTCCAGCACCCTGAACTGAAGAGGGGACCTGAAGATGGGCGCGTTTTGGGGTTGGTTAGGCCTCGATGGGACATAACCCTCTCTTCCTCCGTTCTGATGTATTAGGGCTGCTTTGGCTGCACGAGCTCCAGCTCCAGCTTGGGGCAGGGGCCCTGTTGCTTTGGAAATGGGTAGCGTGGCTTGGCTTCAGGCTCCGCTCATGCTTGGAGCTGGACAGGCTCTGAGGCTGGCCTGGGTTGCTGCTGAGTCGGCTGAGCCGTCTTGGGGCGACTAAAGGCAGCAAACGAGCTAGTTCTTCTAGGCAGGAAGTGACGCATAGCCTGTGATGATTTCTGTGCCGCATTGTAACGCTCCATGAAGCATCTACCGCGGAGCCGAACAGGTCTGACTGTGAGATGGGGGTGTCCAGAAGAACTGTACTATCACCGTCCTTAATCTCCATGAGATTAAGCTATAAATTGCGCACCACCACCACTAGGCTGGCCATAGCTCAACAAATGGCTTGGGCGGTGTCTTTAGTAGCACACAGGGCCAGGTCAGTTGCACTGTGCAGCTCTTTGAATTAAGCCGGGTCAGGTCCAGACTCGTCCAGGTCATGGAGAAGTTTAAACTGATATACTTGAAGTACCGCCATGGTATGCAGGCGGCTTGGTGTAACCCTGCAATGCTTGGTCAGATGACCGGACTTGGGTTTCCAACTGATCGCTGTAGGCGGGCTGAGGTGGGCAGAGTTTTCTACTGGGGGTAGCCTCGTGTTTCATTTTTCACTTTAGAGAGAGCAGCCAAAGAAGAAGACTGGACAAGAATACAGGGCGTGCCAGGTCTTAGTGAGCTCCTGATGTACTTCAGGGAAAAAGAGGCTAGTTATCGCCAGAGTTCGCCCACTCTTTGCACTCGGCAGCGTCATCAGACCCGCCAAACGAGACCATACCACTCACGCCAGATGATGTTCTTCATGCTAAAGGAAAAAGATCTGAAATAGAGGCGTTTCTGCAAGACTTTATAGGCAGTCAACCCAGCCCCTTTGGGGGGCTGAAATCCCATTTGTCTGTGCCACTGCACAGACGTGAACCAATCAGGCTTCGGAATTAAAAAAGAAAACAGGAGTTTTCCCCATAAGCGTCAGCTAAAAGCAGACGCAATGCAAGTGAACCGTATCGAAAGGGAACCAAGACAACAAAAACAACCAAATAAAACTATAACCACCAACGGCAATTATCAGAGTCCAAGCATCACGGCTCAAGTAGACCATAATACGGTAAAACCATGGCCATGTCCCTTTTCACATGTAATATGGGGGCTTTAGTGTCTCTGTATGAAAGCATTAATTTGTGTATTATGTAGAAAAAGACCAATAAAATTGTCTTTTTTTGTTTTAATTGGACAGCAATACATTCAGCCATGTCTGGCAACTAGACAAATATGTTTTTAAAATAATTAGGATTCATAAAAATTAAGGTAACTACCCAGGGTTACCAGGAAGTAACAGAAAAAAGAATGTGATTAATTTAATAACGTAATAATGTGAAGACCTTTGAAAACTATTTAAAAGAAATTAATTTATAAAAGGAAATATTACTTTTATAAAATATATATTTTCACTTGGTTATTAATGTGGCAATGGTGATCAGTTTTGAACTCGATACTGGCCAATGCGAACGCGTAATGTGGCGAACAGAAAAAATTATTTCCGGATTTTGCATGAGGTTTATGCATGAAGTCAGAGGCAGCTCTCTCTCTCGTGCATGGATTTCCTGATGAACATTGACGCCCCGTGGAAAAAGAAAGAAACAACCTCCTAGATGAAATCTATCAATGGATTTATGTGAATGAAATGACAAACTTTTTTTGCATTCATTATAAATGACATTGATGTTTCCAATTCGCACATTCAACTTATAAATATCACAGTGTATGGTGACATATATATGCTCTATTAGCATTAGAATATTGCTAAAGTGTTTACGGAGTTTAGTTTTGATTAAAAAGGAGAAAGAAAAGGATTTAAAGGGGACGAGATACACCTATGCCTCTCTGGAATTTTCTGTGAGTTTAGCTTTTTACTTTTTACTTGTGAGTTAAAGGCTTCATTGTATGTTTTTACAATGAAGACATTGATGATTATTTTGTGACCTTGTCTGTTCAAGGTTTTTTTGTGAAGCTGGTAATGTTGTTTGTGGAGTTGTTTAATCATCCTCTGCTGAGATCTTGAGAGTTTTAACATCTTTTATCTTCAGTTGATTTCAACTAAGGCTGTGGCAAGAAGTCAGTTGTAGTTCTTGTGTTTCTCTTTCCTTCAGTGATTCTGCTTGTTAACAGCAGGTGTTCATCACTAATGCTCAATCATCTCTTAATTAATCACTTAATTATACAATTATCGTGCAGGGTAGAGTTCTCAACGGGCCTGAAAATTACAACCCGACCCGACCCGGCCCGTTTTAAAGCCCGGACCCGATGTAACCCGACACATCAACATGAATTATCTGCCCGTACCCGGCCCGCGGCCCGACGCCAATTCTTTTTTTCTCATACACGTACTATCATGACCAGCGGATGGGAATTCAAATCAACCTTTAATGTTCACGCCTTTTAACAA